TAGAGTCTATAAGCCTGTCAATAAGAGGAAGAGGGAAACTATCTTTCGGACACCCTTTGTTTAGGTCGGTGTGGTCAACACACATCTTCCACAAGACCTTTTGAAGCGAAAGACTTTCTTTGGTCGGATTTTTCCTAACAAGGACCACATTTGCTACCCATGTCGGGTAATTGACTTCGCGGACAAAGCCTATGCCTTTGAGTTTTTCAACTTCTGCTTTCATTGCCTCGTATCGTTCAGCGTCATAAGATCTTCGCTTCTGTCTCACCGGCTTGATCTTGGGGTCAATACTCAAACGATGACAGATGACATCGGGAGAGATGCCTGGCATGTCCTCGTATGACCAGGCGAAGACTTCAGTGTTCTCTTTCAAAAAAGATATCAATGCTAACCGAAGGGGTGGTGACAATGTGGTGCCAATCTTCACCATGCGATCTGGATAATCTCTTGAGATAGGTACCTTCTCCAACTCTTCAGCAGGTTGGGCTTGCTGGGTGAAAGAGTCATCTCGAGGATCATCGGGTTGATTGTTGCTATCAGGAAGATCCAAGTTCGCTTCATCTAGGCTGGTCTTTTGTGACTTGGTCATGTACAGACAGGGTTTTCCTTGGGTCCGGGCAAGTGTTGTTGCTTAACTGAAGTGTTGTAACATGATCGTGCAGTAAGCTGATCTCCTCTGATGTAGCCGTTGCCATGGGGGGTTGGAAATTTCATCAACAGCATATGCGTGGATACCATAGCCTTGAGATCATTGATGCCTGTGCGCCCAAAGATGACATTGTATGCCGTTGGGCAGTCAACCACTAGGAAGTTAGTGGTAATGGTAGCCGTGTAAGGGCCTGTACCAATAGTAAAGGGTAAATGTATGCTCCCTAAGGGTTGCACGATATCACCGGAGAAGCTTATCAGAGGAGAAATCGAGCGATCGAGCAAGTGTTCAGCTACACTGAGTGCCCTGAAAGCTTCGGCAAACATGATATTGACCGAAGCCCCTGTGTCTACGAAGATTCGTCGAACATCAAAGTTGGCTATGTGAGCCTCCACGATCAATGGGTCGTTATGAGGGTAGATGATGCCCCTTTCTTCCTCAGGGTAGAAACATATCGGATCCCAGTTAGGCTTTTGATACTTCCCTCCCCTGATGTCTTCCACGTGAAACACTTGGTGACCAGGCCTCAGAATTCGTTCACTGTTTTTTCATGGCCCTATTGGAAGATTCAGATATGGGTGTGCCGCCGCTTATGGAATATATGACATTCACCTGGCGTTGGTTACGGTTATCCCTTTGAGGGTGAAGGAGGAATTGATCAATTTTTCCTTCTCGTGCCAAAGCTTCAATACGATCTCGGAGGATGATACATTTCTCGCTATCATGGCCGTTATGCTCATGGTAGCAATAAAACATGCCCGCGTTATTCGGGGGCGTGTAATCTGGGTGCCTCGGCTTTGGCTTTGGTATCAGGTGAGCTATGCTGGGGTAAATGGCCGCGCATGTGGCATTCAAGGGCGTGTATGTCTCATACCTTAGGGTAGGGGGTATCTTGACGCGGGTTTGACCCACTGCATTGACTGCCTGGGGGCGAGCGTTATTGTGGCGATACCCTTGGTTATCGGGATAGTGTCCCTTACTCTTTTTACTGGAAGGAGAGTGGTGAGGATGGAAATCCTTCCTCTTGCCTTGAAATTGATATGTCTGTTGATTCGGTGAAGCATTATGCACGGCATGGGGAGGTGCCACTGTTGTTTGGAAAGTCGAGGTCTTCTCATTTAGGTGAGTCTGGCTTCCACCTCCCACTTGTTGATAAAGGATGGTTGTAGGGGGTTTCTCCTGATATGTCTTTGCCTCGGCGGAGGCATGGTTATAAGCCTGCGCCATCACCTCAGAGTAAGTCTTCCAAGTATTGGCATTGATCATGTATTTAAAGAAACAATCACGTAGGCCTGCCGTGAAGGCTTTGAGGGCAGTCTTGTCGTCTGCCTCGGCACACCGGGAGTATTCATGGCTGAAGCGGCCAGCATACATACGTAATGACTCGTCTGGCTTCTGGCGGATAGTGTACAGGTCATCTGCAGAGTGCAAGCGATCGGTTTGGAAAATGTGTTGGGAAACAAATAGTTTCCTCAATTCCTCAAATGAGTCTACCGTCTCAGGTGTAAGACGACAATACCAATTTAGAGCTCCGCCAGAGAGGGTGGAGGGGAAGAGAAGACATCGCTCTTCGTCGGTGTGCATCCGGTATGCCATGGTGGACTCAAAGAGGTTAAGGTGCTCAATCGAGTCCTCTTTCCCAGTATAAAGTTGCAAGCCAAGCTTCTGCTTTGTCTTTGCTTGAAGGGGGGTGTTGAGGATCCTCCTTGTAAGAGGGCCAGGCCTGGGTTGGTTCCAGTCAGGTATTTCAGCCTGACGTTCAGCCTTCAACTTGTTTACTTCCTCAAGAAGTTGTAGGACAAGGGGGTCCTGAGCGGAGTTATGTGCCACTGGAGCTTTCTTTCGTAAATCTCCATCTCCTCTTGGAATTAGGAAGGTTTGATCAAGGGCATGTGATTTTTCCCTGGACTCGCTGTACTGGCTTCCAGGGTATGTCTGTCGGAACACCTCTGAGTCCCCTGTACCCTCATGTCTCTCTAGGACTTGTTGCCCCTTCCCCAAGTTGGTGGCCGGCTCGGGCCGTGGCAGGGGACCGAGTCTCTCAGAAATCCTTGGGTCATTGATCTTTGAGCTTATATGGATGGAATTCTCTCGACGTTGCTTCAGGAAATCCCGACAATCGCGAAAGACGGCTTTCGATCCTTCTGCCCCTTCAGCAAAGAGGTGTCTCCCTCCGCTTCTCATGGTTCGGGTCGAAGCAACTGGGTTAAGAGAAGCCTCATGTTGATTATCAAATCGAGGGGTAATTTGTTCCCTATCAGGGATATCTATGTCGAATGCATGTGACCCTCCATGTTGGAGGGCACCCAGTTGATGGTTGACTTCCACGGGGGCAACAAGCTCGCGTGTCTGAGCTTGCCTAGCTTCGTGAAGTGTCTCGAAGAGCTTCTCATATTGCTCCTGGAGGACCTCATTCCTCATTGCTATCTTGTTGTTCTGAGCTTCCAACTCATCGACTTTAGCTTGAAGAAGAACTCGTTTTCCTTCATTCTTTCGTTGTTTCGCACTATGTGCAAGGGGGGTGTCATTCTGTGTGCTGTGGCTTCCTTCGCTTCCCATGCTGGAGAGGGATGCCAGATCAAAAGAAAGTGTACGAATGATAGAAACCAGCTTGACACAGCTGAAGAGAGTAGGAATAAGTGTCGTTTCCCACAGACGGCGCCAAATGTTGATGCACAAAATCAGCGAAGACTTTGGTACAACAGAAAGTGTCAGGTTTTGTGACCTTCGCTTGGTTGCTTCCGTCACTAGTGAGGATAAGTACGTAAATGAATAGAGACAGAGAAGCAAACACAGGATGTACGTGGTTCACCCAGATTGGCTACGTCCACGGAGTAGAGGAGTTCTTATTAGTAGTGAAGGGCTTACACAAGTACAAAGGATCAAGCTCTCAATTTAGTGAGTTCTTGTGAATGATTTAACACAAAATGGCATTAGGCAATATTGTGGGGGAATGACCCCTATTTATAGAAAAACTTGTAGCTTTGTCACATTGACATGTGTCATGTTATGATTGGTTCTTGATGTCGACACGTGCTGCGCTCTGATTGGCTTCTAATCTTGACACGTGTCGAGTAGTGATTGGCCTCCTGGTCGGAGGGGAACTCTTCTGGGTCCTTGACAGTATAGCGTTGGCCGGTGCTCGGTAGTTTCGGGATTGGTCAAGTATGGTACAAACAGTGGGTATTAGGGATATTTTTCGAGATCATTTTGGCAGTTGTTTAGGCTGTTTAGGTAGCTTCCATTAGAGTTGCTTATTCTTTAGAAGCAGAGTTGCATGTGGTTATTCATGCCGTGGATTTGGCTTGGGTTAACGGTTGGATTTATTTGTGGATCGAATATGATTCTTCTTTAGTGGTCCTTTTTCTTTCTTCTACTTCTCACAAGATTCCTTGGCGTCTACGTGTTCGTTGGATTTATTGCCTTGCTCTTCTCTCCCGTATGCACGTTCATGTCACTTATATTTTTTGATAGGGTAATGCAATTGCCGATTGTTTGGCTAACTTCGGTGTGGATCATTCTGGGAGCTTATATTGGGACTCTTGTCCTCCTTGTGCAACTTCTGCTTACATTCATAACCTTTCTTCAAGACCTAATTTTAGGTTTTGCTAGTTTGGTCCTTGATGGTTGTAGAAGTATTACCTTTCATTGAGGCGGTTCGTGTTGGATTTTGCGTCTGTCGCCATGCTCGTGACTTTGAGTTTCATCTTGTTGTTTGTTTTCGTTGATGTTTCTTTGTTTTTTCCTTAGCGGGTTTGGCTCCGCCCCCCGCTTATATTGTTTACTTTTCTTTATTTAATAAATTCGGAGATAGGGGAGGGGGGTCGTTCTATCAAGGAGTTAGCCTTTTCTCATCGCTCTGAGCGGGAAGAAAGTAGCATACTTGTAGTTAACAGCTAATCCTAGGATTTGGTTCTTTCTTTCCGCGTTGTGCGGGTTTAGAGAGTAAGGTTTCTACTATTGTAGTCCGACAACCAAGTCTTATGCGTAGCTCGATTCGCCTAATCCATTATCATCCTTATTAATAATAATAAAAAAAGAACTGGTGGTTTCTTCAATTTGACAGATATGTTTTTACAAAATGACCAAAATGATTGACAGTAGACAATCTTAAGGACCACTTCTATTGATTTTAAATCTCAAAAGCCAAAGTAAGGAGTTATGCCAATATTAGAACCATTTTATCTAAAAAGCATTTTTTTTTTCATGGCATGATACAAATCAAAAGGTTCTTGTTCCACTGCAGGACAACATGTGAAATACACCATAAGGGCAATATTCCATCGGAAAATAATACATCTCAAAAGCAATTGCACCGATCATATAAAACAAAGAAAAGTAGGACATAATGGAGACAAGATGACACCATCAATATATTATTCGATTCTTATTTATATAATTAAGGGTCCTCCTACAATTATTTAGTACAACTTAAATGGTTAGGTTTTCTTTTCAAGTACGGAACACGAGAAAAATACATAAGTGGCACAGTTAAATATATTGATATAATAAGGAAATATTATTCAACTACTCTCTCCAACTCCAAGCCATTCTTCCCCTTGATGATCAGAACCCAGAAAAGAAGTGAAGGAATGGAAATTGAGAGCCAAATTTGGCTGAACTTGAACTTGATTATCACCATCATCGCTACCACCATTATTCCAATGTTGCAGCATTTCCTCTGAAAAAAATTGAGCGGTTTCATCTACAAAATGTGACGTGATAGTGTCACTGTTATTATGATTCAAGTAATCGCGATTAATTTCAGGGAAATCCGAATTCAGAAGACTGGCTATGCTAATCTCGTTCATGTCAAAATCCACCAAAAAATCCGAGGTTGAATTTTCTTGATCAGCATTGATATTAGAGAATGAAGAAAACGAAAGTGTCCGATTAATGTGGTCATCATCCATAGCTGCTGGCTTGCCATCAAACATTAGTACTGTGTTTGTTTCTTCAGTGCAGTGTTGATGATCATGACCAAGTAGGACTTTGTGTGGCTGTGGGTTGATGAAAACTTGGGTACACTTAACAGCTTTGGTACGGTAAACAAGGGATGATGGTGATGCCATGTCCATACTTTTTGCTTTCTTGGAATTTGGTTCACCATTTTTGTGGTGCTTGAGATTTGAAGCAGATCTTTGTTGTTGTCGGTCAGGAACTTTTTTACCTAAATTTGTATTCCAGTAGTTCTTTATTTCATTGTCTGTTCGCCCTGGAAGCCTACCAGCTATTAGAGACCATCTGAAAATAAAACATAAAAAATCAATCAAAATAAAAAAAGCCGTGCATAAATAAATAAATAAATAATAGAAAAAAAGACAGAAGAAAAGTACCTGTTCCCCAGAAGCTTGTGAAGCCTAATGATAAGCTCTTCTTCATCTGGAGATATGTTGCCTCTCTTAATGTCTGGCCTCAGATAATTCAACCACCTAAGCCTGCAGCTCTTCCCACATCTTTTCAAACCTGCTTATATAATTAAGCACTAATTAATTAGACAAATTTATATGATTTTCGTGCACAATTTAGAAAATCCACATAAACCCAGGAATGAGCTTGCGGTTAGCCCAGCGGTGAAGGTATGTACACAGGAGTAAGCTAGATTCAGGATTCGAAACCCTCCAATGTAACTAGAAAAAATGTGTAAGCTACTAATGATTCTAATTAGCATTTTGGTTTAATGGTTACCTGCTTTCTTGGGAAGGTTTCTCCATCTGCCTTCACCATGGAGCTTGATGTATTGAGTGAGAACTTTGTCTTCATGGGCAGTCCAAGCACCTCTGTTCAAGCCCTCCTTTGCACAACAAGGGCTTCTCCCCATTATTTTTTTGGTGCTTGGTCACAACCAAAAACTATAACTTTTCGCTCAGAGACTTGTTCTCTCTGCAGCCTCTGGTCTTTTGGCCAAGACGTATGCTTATTTGATTTGGTCTCCTTGGCCTTGGAATCGGATAGTTATATAGCTGCACCGCATGCTATGTTGTGTTTATATTATATTGAGTAATGCTAAGGAGATTAAATTTGTAGATTAAATTTTGTAAACTAAATGACATGGAAGCTGATGATTTGATTATTACTTAAACGTTGATAAACGTATTCATTTCCTATTAGTGACGTATTATTTAGTTTGCAAATTTAGTTTATAAATTTAGTCTCCATAGCATTACTTATAATAATATAAACACAACATAGTGTCCAGAAACTGTGTTATGCTTAATTGTAGCAATGGTTCCTGAATTTTATTTCTAGTCTAAATTTAGTTTCTGAACTCTCATATTAGTTTCTTTAGTCCTCGAATTTAATAATGTGTTGCACCATTGGTCATTTTCACTAACATTGTCTTCTTCTTTTTTTCGTTCAGTGTAGGTGTATATTAGGAACTTTAACTTAAAATTTCAAAAAAATAAAGAAGAAGAAGATACAAAACAAATGAAAATTTATAAATTAATATCTAAAACTTAAAACAAAATGAAATTTGAACTATAAAAATACAAAAGGAAAATGGTCAGACTTTAGCAAGTTGTAAATATTAGGGTATGTAATTTCAAAGTTAGCAAGAGATCGAACTGTGACTGGACCAATTAAGAAATCACATATTGAACTGCGAAAAAAATTCCTATGTATTAATGTTTCTTACACACACACAAAAAAAAAGTTACAATTATTTAGGTTTTTTTTGTCTTTTTCATTTCTCACTTTAAAATTCATTTTTAATGATATGGCTTCAAGTTCCTTATATACCCCTAAATTTAAAAGAAAAATAGATGGCACCAAACACTCCAATGCTAATTTAGCAGTCAGTCGGGTTCAATAGCGATAGCTATTTAACCTAGTGCATGTTAAATATTTAAGTACTATTTCATAAAACAATATTTTTTTAATAGACAAATATGCAGAGAAGTCTGAAAGCGGCCAAGAGCCAACAATCTTCTTTTGGTCAAACTCTCTTTGTTTCATCCTTACTCTCACTCCCCTTCTCTTCTCCCACTTTCCATTGATTTCAGCTTCAAAAGGATCTCTAAATCCAAACATTAATCATCCCTTTATCTTTTCTTCATTTCTGAATCTGATGGTACAAAACCATCGCCCTCCACCGTCCACGCCGTCGACGATTGGATATTCGTGGCGGTCTTATTGAGTTTCATAAGCTTCTTGAAAATGGCTGGTGTGCGAGCGTACAGCGAAATAACATTAAAATGTGTTTGGTTAGCCTTGAATTTTTGTCTCCTCCTCGCTACATCTAGCGAGCAGCTGTTTAAAAAGTTAAATTTTTTGCTAAGGTAGCTACCTTGTTGAACTTTCGTTGAAGATGCCCTAAATAAAAAATAAAAATAAAAATTATCACACCACATTGCAATGGAAAAATACTATTGTGTCACGTGGCAGGCTGAATGACATGTTATGTTGTGTTTTTTTATTTAAAAAACCTTGATGGTATGAGAAATTTTTTATTAATAGCGAAAATAGAAGTTGTTCTTAGCCAGAGAAAATAAACCTTACTTGGCCCTTATAATATAAGAAAAAAAAAAGATGAAAAATACATAAAAAGAATGGGACATAAACTTTATTCTTCTAGAAACAAAAATAAGAAAAATACAAGGAAAAAAAGAGGGACATGAAACCTAACTCCTCGCAAGTGATCTTTTATCACAGTGGTGGAAATGTATTAAGCCCTTGCATGACTGTGTGGGTTCAAACCCCGTCGGTGGCTAACCTAACATCTAATTTAACAAAATCTGTCGTTTGACAAAAAAAAAAAAAAAAAAAAAAACCTAACTCCTCTAAAACAAAACTTAACAAATAATAATCTGCAAAACAAGCTGTCAAAACTTATCTCTCTAAAACAAAACCTAACATGATTCGTTTTTTTGTTATTTACCTGTTTCCACCGTCCAGTTTTCTAAGCGGTCCACACCAATTAGGTCGTGTTTTTTGCACATTTGAGACCTGAAGGGATAAATGACAAGGTTAATGATGAGAAAGCTAGAATTTACTTTAGCTTTTTATGTCTATATTTTCAAACGTCTTTGTTAAACGGTCCAAATGTTCAGATTAAGAGCGGATCTTCTCTTTTACTAGCTACGCCTCCAAATGGAGAATTGATCCCACTCACTTAAAAACTGCTTTGCACATTTGAGACTATTAAATGGATAAATAACAATGGTGACTAATGAGAAAGCTTAGAATTTGATGTAACTTTTAGTGCCTATTTTTTCAATCGTCATATTAAAAGGTCCAACTGCTCGGATTGTAGAGCAGATCTTATTAAGAAAAACTAATGAAAAGGGTTTGAAAACTTTGAGTTTTAATGATAAAGACAAAATAAAGGGTAAAGTGAATAGTACCAGGTTTGACTTTTTAGTGTAAAAATATGATTTTTCGTTAAAACTCCCATCTTATTATCTACGACAAACTGTTTGTGTCCGGTATTCAAGCTGTACTGTACATGTCACAATATAAATTGAGAAAATGATATACTTTTATGTGCTGCCAATGGTAGAGTTAAAAATCTATTCCAGAAGGGGCTTTTAAGCTAAATGAAAGAAACAAAAAAAAAAAAGTTGCAAGTATAACTAATTAGTAAACAATCAGAAGTTTTTTTGGTTGTTTTCTATTGTCATGGAAAATTTTAATCAAACAAGATTGATGGATTTTTAAAATTTGTATGAAAAATTTAGTATTGAGATGATTATATCATAAAAATAGAGCTTGCTTACGAGCTTTAATAAAAAATAATTAACACATTTGATTCGAACAAAATTTAAAGTCTTAACTAGCTTAAAATTATTACCATGAGATTTTTCTTTCAACATAATTGGATTTTCCTCTAGATTGCATAGATCTTCTATAAGGCTTAGAAGATGGTAAGAAAATCAAATAATTGTTTGCATAAACAAATCTCGAACCCGTGATTTGCTGGAAACTTTAAAGTGTACTACACCAATAGATCGTATACTCTTCATTGTATAAACTAGCAGACATCACATATAAATTAGTGAAATTACAGGATGCGCCCTTGCCTCTTCTAGCTTCTATGTGGCTCCGCCTCTACGCCCCTCTTCACTTATTTTATGACACCCGCTTGAATATCAGGCACTTCAAAAAAAATTCTCCTTATCTACAAGGCCTTCAAATGAGGAGAGTTGATCCTATTTACTTAAAAATGCCATTAATATGAAAACTTAATTCCCATTTTGTTTTTCTTTTTGAATTTGGGAACATCGTAATATATATCGGTCTTTTGCTTTTATTTTTTTTTAACAGAAAAATATGTATTGGTTGGTATTGCACAACCATGCGAAAACAAATATCATAAGTCACTGGAATTAGTCAAGTGAAAGTGAATGAGATGATCCGCGTAATTAGATTAGATTTAAGGGTTCTAAACCTTTGGATACAAACCATAAAAATAAAATGTTGCAGGAAATATATGGAGTGCGTTTGTTGCACCAGTCTATTTCAGACTGAATTAGCTTCAAGACTAAGCTGGACTGACTTAACTTAGACTAAGTTGACTGGCTTGGCTTGGACTAAGCAGGAAAAAAATAGTGAAGTGTTTGGTGTAGTACGATTCTGAATTATGAACTAAAATATTTTGAAGATCCAAATTAATTTTTTACTAAATTTTAATTACTTTTGCCTAAAGAAACAAAGACAATTATATATATATATTTTTTTAATATATCGATATTTTTACAGTAAGGGAAGGGGGAGTTTGGCTAAGTCACACAATGGGCAACCTAATTTGGTATCGAATTCACCGTCCACAAGATTCGAACCTAAGACCTCTCACTTCCAAGTGAAGAGGACTATCACCACACCGTAGTACTGAATGGCAACAACTATATTATTTTGTAGTAATTTAATTTTTAAAACCTAATTGAGAGGAAATTGTAGCAATGGTTGCTCAATTTTAACTCAATTGGAGTAATGGTCCCTCAACTAAAAATTCATGTCCATTAGTCCCTTAACTCATCAAAAAGTGTAGCTATGGTCATTTTCGTCAACTCTGTTAAAACTTCCATTAAAATGAGTCATGTGCCATGTACGTGAGGCTAAATCAAGACATAAATGTAGAAAATAAAATGAAAAAAATTGTAGCAATTGTCCCTCAACTTTAACCCAAATAGAGAAATGGTCCCTCAACTTAAATTCGATTGAAGCAATGATCCCTCAATTTTGACCTAATTGTAGCAATAATCCTTTCAACACGAGTCATATTAACGAAATTCTGATGGAGTTGACTAAAAGGACTATAGTTGCACGTTTTGATGAGTTAAGGAACCGATGATCATGAATTTTTAGTTGAAGAACTATTGCTCCAATTGGGTTAAAGTTAAGGGACCATTGCTAAAATTTTCTCCCTAAGTAATGATTACGAGGCCGCCTTTACTTTTTAGAAGAATAGACCGACATTTTGTATTGCAAATCCTCTTTGCCTCTTCACTTCCTCTCTGCCTCTTCACTTCTTCTCACAAAATTGATTGCAAATTTTAAAATCAAAACACAGAGTAACAAAGAGATTGAAGGAGGTGGGGTGTGCATGTGTGATTGGCTCGAAGGTAGAAGGTGGGAGATGAGGGTTTGATCTGGGTGCATTTGGGATTCAAAATTTCAAGCTCATCCTACTGCAGATTTTTTGGGGTTTTCTGGGTTCGAATTTTGGGAGTTAGATCTAATTTTGAAAAGAGAAACCCTGTAGATTTGTGTTTTTTTTTTTGTTTCGAATTTTACGGAATCTAGGTTTGAAAAGTATTGTGGAATGCAAGGAAAAAGTAGATAGGAGGGACAAAGTGGGAAGGGGTGAAGTGCAGCAAAGTTGTCTTGGCAGTCCGCCCAATTTTGAGGGATCTAACTAAGACCTTCCAACAAAGCTTTTAGTCGAACTTAGTCTAGGCGAGTCATTAAACATAGTCCATGCGTGAAACAAATACAGG